AAAAACATTTGACCTGGCAGGACACAGGAGCTGCTGACTACGCTGCCTTGATCGGTGAGTTTGATTGTGTTATTGTCTGACTTTGGTGTTTTAAAGGGTTAGATCAGATTCAAAGTCACACAATTACGCAAACTAACCGATTGATGCAGCGGGAGATCAGCAACTATTGTGTCCTGAAAGTTTTTGTCACGAGACTCTGGTGGCTCTGAAGAGATCAAAAATAGATATCATGACTTAGGCTCCTGTTGGAAAGGGCTGTCTGACAGCAAGGTACAGCAATGGAAATATTCTTGATTCATTCTTTCTCGGTCAGCCTTTGTTTTTAGTTTAGGTGTCTAAAATACATCACAGCAGTACATTGGTTTGCTCCCGTGCTGGTTCTCCTGTCTGTTTTCTATAAACTCCACCACTATGACTATGGAGAAGCACCTCATACAACCACACTGAACAATCATTTGAATGCCTCATTGGCCTTTTCTTGACCCAACAGTTAAACATAGACTTTCATCTCATTATGTCTGTCCTGCTCATCTGTAGAACTAGATCCCTGCACTGGTTCTTGAGGTAGAACTACGTGCTTGCATCACGGTGTTACCTGTGCCAGTTTGGCCCGTAGCTGGTCAATGCAGCGCCGCAGTCGCTCCTTCTCTTTCTCTCCCTCGTCCCTCTCCCTCTCCAGCTCTTCATTCTTCCTCCTCAGCTCCCTCATCCCTTCCTCCAGTTTTTCTTTGTGGCTTTTCAGCAGCTGGAGGAACTCGTTTGCGCCTTCCACAGGCTGCCGAGAGAAATAAAAGTGAAAGAACCGTGGATTAGTGGATGCAGGGAGAAAGTGATGACAGCACGGACTTGGACAGAGACAGACCACGTTCACCCGGGGCCGGAGGACTGACACCAAACAAAAAGTAGAACTACACCAAGATGTGAGAGAACACCAACGGAGCTAACAAAAGGAGACAGAGATGGATTTTAAATAGGGATACATTGGTGCGTTGGAGCTGTGTGTTACTGCTGTGCTCTATACAAAGTGAGACGCAGAGGAATTTCTGGTTACCAACTACCATTCAATCCAGTGCTCCTGCTCAAAAATACAGGGAAAGAACATGGATGGGAATCGAGATGTTGAAATATATGTAAAACACAGTTCCAATACAGGCCATCCCATGTTAGTTTTCATGCAATGAAAGATACGGTGGGGTGAAGCATTTAACCAGGGGTGGGACAGCACAGAGTAAGTGTCAGGGATCTGATTGGGGGAAAGTTGGGATGCAGTGAGCAGGCTCACCTGCCCATTTTCCCTGCCCACGATCTCCCCCCATACCTCTGAGAGTGAGGTAGAGGGAGAGGGGACGGCGCTACTCAAGGAGTTACGCACACTCGCGTCGCCCTAGACACACGGACAAACCAGTTAGATGAAAAACAAACATATACGTCAAAAGTGCAATCACAGCACGCCGCCAACAGCGTCACACGTCTTACCAGACTGCGAGGCGGTGTGGTCTGTGTGTGTCGATCCGTGTCTTCAACTCTTTTCTTCTCCCGCTGATCTAGTGTCTGAACCAAGGGTTTCCAATATCCACAGGAAATGTTTAAGAGAAAGAAGAAATACATAGTTACCATTTCTGTCTCCCTTGCTTTCCCCGTCCTCTTTCATTCTCTCTCTCATTGCAGCAATATAAATCTCATAAATCCCAAACAACAAAAACACTTTTGCGGCGTATGTGTGAAGACATAAGACATGAAACACAACACATGAAATGTAGCATTAAATATCAGTTAATTCCTTTATAGAATATGAGCACACAGCTAATGTAAATACATACAGAAATAAAACTTAGTGGTGAATTAATCTCCGCATACACATACATATTCCAACATGTTATTGTGGAACTAATTTGTTAAATGTAGAATCACCTTACAATGTGTGAACATGACGAAGCAGATGTGTGAATGTTGGCGAGCTCACCTGTGGTCCGTCCAGTGGTCTGCTCCTCGCTGGGCGCCCCTGCAGGTCTTCAGTCTGACTGGAGCTGCAGCAGTGGTTAGAGGCGAGGTTAGAGGCTGGTCCGTTCACCAAGCTCTGTAAGGAGTGGTTCTCCTGGGCCAGCCTCTCCACCAGGGCCCTGGCCTCCTGGAAACGACAGCTGAGAAATCCTCGTTCTTCTCTTGTCCTCTGCTGCCATCCCTCCATCTCCTCACAGCGCTGACGTAAGGCTATGTTGCTCCGCCGCAAGGCCTCTGGAGGACAGAAGGATGAAGGCAAAGGGAGAGGTAGGAGATTGATACGTCACACAGAGTGACACAGAGGAGCCATGTCAGTTAAATGCGTAATAATAAACTTTATATATACAGGACTTTTCAAAAAAAGTTGCAACGTGCTTTAAATGGTTGAACCAGGATTAAAACATGTCAAGACTGCAATGAGGCAACTAAAATACAAAAATAAAATGTAATAATAAAACAATATCATCAGAAAAAATAATAAAAAATAAATAAAAAGATAAGAAATGTTGGAAAAGATGTGCTTTGAGAAGTAATTAAAAAGGAAGATGACTGATTCTGCAAGTCTCATAGGTAATTCTTACGGGTAATGATTCCAAAACTTAATACGTGTGGTGGGCAAAACGATTTAACAGTACCGAGTGACTTATGACACTGAAATTAAGAAAAGATGTCTTTTAAGTATTTATTCTCTTGGTGCAGAGAAGGTTCATACAGAATGCAATGCGGTCTGAAGGAGGAAGGAACCCAGAGTGTTGGTTGTGTACGACAGTGACCATTCATTGTTCACATAATCATTTATTTTATACAATTCAGATTCTATCACATTCATATTGCTACAGGAGAAATTTTTGGGGTTCATGTGTTCAAGGACACATCGACATGCGACTAGCGGAGCCGGGAATTGAACCGCAGACCCTCTGATTGAAGGACGGCCCTGCTCTCCACTTAGCCACAGCCGCCCCGGTGGTGGGGTAGGAGGAGTTCATCACAAGGACATCTGGACAACAGTGACCATTCATTGGTCAACCATTGATATTAACCTTACTCCAACAAAAAGGGCCAAAACACTGAGTGGTCAGACAATAAAACAGATATTGTTTTAATTATAAACAATATCACAGATATCACAAATAAAAAAGTCACAGTGGAAATTTGCCATTACACCTGTGAAGAGAGATACAACAGGTTGGATATGATCTTGACTATTAGTGCTTGTTAATAGCTGTGTTTTGGGGTACACCACAGGTCAGAGGGGCCACATCACAGACTACTACTGAACAACTTTTGTTTGATAAATAAATAAGATTTGAACCAGTCTAGAGCTGCCCTGATGCCAACCCACCTTTCAAATACATGGGGCCATAGATTGAACAAATAGTGATGAGAAACTAGGTGTGGCTATTTGATCTGATTTTGTTTTTCATGATTTCCAGGGCTTAAAGAGAGTATGAAGTATGACGAGTATAATGCCTCAAATTTGTTTTACTAAAAAATGATTTCTTATAATTTCCTTTGAAATCACCAATTGAAATCACCAATACCATGTTCCAACATGTCTGCCATGTATGTTCTGTACCAGCCCTCTGGTAAGATCGTGTGCCATACTTGGAGAGGAGCAAATATATTGCTTTATTTCTTTTAATGATCATTCAATTATTATTTAATTATGGGAATGCATCCTACCTCTAAGCTGCTGGTTGTCACCCAGCAACCTGGTCACCACTTCATTGGATGCCAGCTCTGGTGGGACCCTGAGGGTCCCGCCACTCTCTTCTCCTGACATCTCCCACTGCATTGGGCCATCAGGTTGGGGCTGCACCATCCCTACAGACAAACATGCAGATTATCATCGACACACACACACACACACACACATCTCTCATTAAACCGTTATTTGCGGAGGATCACTGCATAAATAACAACGCCGGTGTTGTTTCACCGTCGATACGCATTTCCCTTTCCCTTGACCTGAACCCAACCTCATCCCTATCTCCATACCAGTCGTTTTCTGAGATGTTTAACCTGGCCCAAACTAACCCTAATCCGTTATCTCTGCTAAACCGAACCAGAACCTAACCCACCATTTTAAAAACAGAGTTCGACTCTAACCCCGCATTCCTCATCACATGCTGACACATGGCATACCACGCCTCATCCCCGTTAGCTTTCTCTTTAACCTCGCGTCATAATCCTGGTACATTTTACGTGTGAGGAGGCCATGGCCTGCTGATAGGGTTTGTCTAGAGACTCACTCATGGAGTGCCAATGCTCTTCTATGTGCAGTATAAACTACATGCTGGTATCAGTCTACAGGACGAAAACATTACGTCATTCCCAATATCATGAGGCAAAGAGCTCGCTCGGAATAGGCTACCGTTAATGTATTTCTTTAGCTACCATGCGAACAGAAACAGTAACCCAGTCGTTATAATCAGCTGATGTTATTACCACAGGCATATAATTTACTCTGGATATTATCTCACATTATTTTTACAGATAAGCTTTTCATCCCCGCACCAACACTGGGTCTTAACGTTGCGCTGCTAACGTACGTGACAGTTACATACATTACAGGTGGAAAATTCCTCTTACCCTCTCTTCTTTTTCAGTTCTGTCGTCCGACAAGCGGTCCTGCAACTACAACTTGTTAGTACGCGTATCTATTTAGCCACTGCTAGATGGCTGGCCGATGCTAGATCGATAGCTAGCGATGTAGCTTATGAGCTAGCTAGGATAATTTAGCAACCAGTGGCTGGGTTATCCGACTGACACAAACAACGACCTACATCAACGAACTCTGTGTCTTCCGAAAGTCATTTTGCCCAGTTTTGTAACGTTATCGTGATACAATGTGCGTGTTAAGGTGGTTTGAGGTTATCTGTCAAAGCCGAGGCGACTGTTGTTAGCGCAGGAAATCAGTTGATTGTTTCACCCCGAGTTTGGCTTCTCAGGCAACACTTCCGTTCAAGCTTCGGTTTAATCCATACAGTCTATGGTTAATCAATGTTGTGGCATTTGACTCTAAACCTTCATGAGACTAAACATGCAAAAACAACAGTGCAATTGACAAATTACTCTTATGTTGAGTTTTATTTTCTCTTTATCTCTTACATTTTCCAGCAGTAGCCTACAATTGTGACCTTATCTTAAAACTGAATGCTCCCATGCACTGTCCCTAGCTCATTTATTCAAATGATCTGTGCAAGAATACACTTGCTTGTCTCTTTGGGTGATGTGGAGGGTATACAGTTAAGAAGTGAGTGCTGCCTGAGAGGCGTAACTCAGGGCGAAAAATTCCCAAGTCACAGGAAATCCCCTTCCTTCTTCCGCAGTGGTTGATGACGTCAGCTGGCTGCAGCGTCACAGCTTCTTTTGCTGATGTGCGCAAAGTGAGAGAAGCTACATGATGCTCCCTGCTGCTGGAGTTGTTTTTGCATTAGCTTGGATTTATCCAAGTCACGCGCTCTATTTCCATATAGGAGAGACGGAGAAGAAATGTTTCATTGAAGAGATTCCGGACGAGACTATGGTTATCGGTAAGCTGCTGTGGGGTCGTTAGCATGACGGAGCTAACTAGCAAAAGCGAACAGCTGGTTCCAGCAAAGACGCTGCATTGAATAAGTCAGTAGTAAAGACAAAAAGACCTGACAGTTTGAAGAAACGTGTAGTGTGTAGTATGTTGGCGCAAACACTGACGTTCATGTGTAAGCTTTTTGTGGCTGCTGGTTAACTGTTAGCCTCTTTACATTTCAAATAGAGATTCTCTCAGCGAGCCATAGAATTGTGTTACACCAGAGTGGATGTTTTACATTAACAATTACATCTGTTTTGTAGTGTTTACCTAAAGGCACTATTTTATGTAGTTGATCTCTATTAACATTTCTTCTACTTTCATTATATTGCCATGTTACTGGTGCATCAGTCTTGCAGAGTTACTCTCGTTTGAATGATTTCTGGAAGACCTGACGGCATGCGTCTGTATGTTGCTTCACCTGTCTGACAGGAAAGTACAGGACTCAGCTGTGGGACAAGGAGACTAATTCCTTCCTCCCAGCCACGCCTGGCCTTGGTATGCATGTGGAGATCAAGGATCCAGAGACAAAGGTAAGGACAGAGGAGCTGGTATTATAAAACATACCCACATACTTCAATAGAATATAAAAAAAAAAAAAAATCTTTTACAACCCTCCCAGATTATCCTCTCTCGTCAATATGGGTCGGACGGACGGTTCACCTTCACCTCCCACACTCCTGGAGAGCATCAGATTTGTTTGCACTCCAACTCCACCAAGATGGCTCTGTTTGCAGGAGGAAAACTGGTATGAACATAGTCACTGCTTTGATGTAGTAGTAAGATAGTCAGTAGCATTGTTCTTTATGATCCTGCACCCCACACAGGTATTTCCAGTTATTTTGGCTGATTAGATCTGCTGAGGCTGAAAGTAGGCAGAGCTATGCTATGAGGTCATTGGACTTAATGCACCAATAAGAGTGATCAAGGTGTATGTTGTTCCTCCCTACCAGCTGCAACACAGCTAACGAGATAGTGAGGAAAATGTCAATCAAGCACAGGTTGTGCACGCCCGAGCAGGCTTGAAAAGAGGGCCGATTCCAATCTGGCTGCAGAGAACTTTGTTTATATTCACACTCACAGCTGACTGTAGCCGCCTTCTTTAAGGTGTACTGTATAAATACAGTGACAAGCTTCAGGACCAACGTTCCTCTCTCCGTTGAGGAGACTATTAAATTGGGTTTTCTTGCAGTTGCTCCTATTCTAAAATAGAAATGTAAATAACAAAGTAATTATAAATAAGATATACGGATGTAAAAACATGCATTATATTACAGTATAGCCTACTCAAGATGGCGCCGCGGACGTCTGCCTCGGTGTGTTGGTGCTCATTGTTCTGTGTTGTTTTTTTGTTGTAAATACTGCTGTGATACCCGGAGCTCTTTCACCAGAGATGAGCTCATAAACATCAGGGAACAACTCCAGCGGACTTACTTCCAACTTTTCTGTTAACTTCTGTGGAATTACTGGACATTCTAGTCAAAAGGCTGTCGGAGAGGGAAACGTTACGGAGTGCTTGTGCGTCTTCGCACACCGCTGCCGGCATATTTCTCTCCAACGTCCGCTCACTGTGCAACAAACTGGACGAACTTCAGCGACTGGTGGGGAAAGACAGAGACTTTTCTTCATCCTCTGTTTTGTGCTTCACTGAGACCTGACCTGGTTCCAGATAATTGGTATTGACGTTAAACATCCCACTATCTCTGAAGAAGGCTGAATATTTGGCACAATACCAAAAATTGTGTTCATGGAACACCAGTGCAGAGCCGAACTGTTTTTATGAACCACCCTGAACACTTACTGATCATTTCTGTTAATGCCCGTAGAATACAAGCATGTTGATTTCCATGTGTTTCTCCATGTTGCAGAGAGTGCATCTGGATATTCAGGTGGGAGAACACACCAACAACTACCCTGAAATTGCCGCCAAGGACAAACTCACGGAGCTGCAGCTGCGAGTCCGACAGCTGCTGGACCAAGTGGAGCAGATCCAGAAGGAGCAGAACTACCAGAGGGTCAGTAAAAAAATACAAGTACACCAAGGCTGGGTTGTACCAAGGAGGGTTCATTTAATCTAGGATTACTGTACTGCTCTCCTTGTGTGTGCGTGTGTAACTTGGTACACAATTCAGCAGTAAGCCAAACTCCATCCAAATGAATACGGGAGTCAGGATGTAGCTTCCAAGCTCCAGATGCTTTATTGTGCATCATCGACGTACACGAATTAAATAAGAGTAAAATTAAAACAAACAGAAGGACACAATGACCAATATGCATAAGAATTACACACTACAAATTTAACTTTATGCATCTCCTACGCTTCTGTAGCAGTCAAACGCATAGTGTAACAACAACTGGCTACAGATACAAAATTAACCTTTACAAATATACTTAAGAAGAAAGTATTACTAAAATACTATTCTGTGGTCTGTGCTAAGCAAATACTTACAGACTATGCTTTCGAAGGCGTAAACACATGATGGATGGCAGCGGATGATTTTCTGAGACCATCTACTTAAAACTACCGCATGTGGCGAACTTCCTGTTCCATGTCAGAGTGCATGTCAAAATAAATGCAAATTAACAACACAACCTAAAGGGCCCAGGAGGGGGCGCCAATTCCCCAGTCCTGAGGGCAGAACACTCCCCGCTTGGTATCTGTAAAGATGCCATATATAAGTACTAAACAGGATAACAATAGAAAAGTCTCAGTCCTACTTCTTCTTCAGAAGAATAATCTCAGACACAGGTCTGAGGAATGTCTTGCTTGATCCCTGCTTGGTCACTTTGAGTTCTACCTTGCAGACTCTTCCTTCATCACTGGGAAATGTGCTCGTAACAAGTGCCATAGGCCAGTCATTACGGGGTGCCTTGCTGTCCTTCAGTAGAACAATGTCACCCTTTTCGATGTTTGGGCATGACTCTAGCCATTTGCGACGAACATGCAATGTCTGCAGATATTCTTGCTTCCAGTGAGTCCAAAACTGGTTGACTAAGCTTTGGACTTGACGCCACTGTTGTTTGTAGACATCCTTCTCTGTGAACTTTCCAGGTGAAGGTGGTACACTCTGCTTCTGAGTCAGGAGCATTGATGGAGTAAGTATGAGAGGTGAGTCTGGATCTGCAGAGACCGGTACTAGAGGCCTTGAGTTGATAATCCCCGTCACTTCCGCCATAAGAGTGCACAGAACCTCATGAGACAGGTTGAAGGAGTCTGTACGCATAAGCATAGAATCCAAGATTCTGCGTGCCACTCCAATCAGGCGCTCCCATGCGCCACCCATATGTGAAGAGTGCGGAGGGTTAAAGTCCCATGTGCATCCTTGACTGTTGATGTACATCTGCACCTTTGACTCGCCCATTACTTTTTGGAATCCAAGTTCATTGCAGGCACCAACAAAATTTGTTCCGCAGTCGGAATGCATCTGTTTGGAGGGGCCGCGAATAGCAAAGAACCTTCTGAGAGCATTAATACAGGATGAAGCATCCATAGACTCAATCACTTCTATGTGGACAGCACGAGTACTCAAGCAAGTGAAGAGCACTGCCCAACGCTTATTGAGGATTATTCCTCCTCTAGTGCGCCTTGCAGTGACAGTCCAAAACATCCAGGCCTGTGTAGGTAAAAGGTGCTGAAGTGCTTAGCCGTTCTTCTGGCAGGTCTGCCATCTTCTGCCTCTCCATTTTACCTCGAAGCTTCCGGCAAATTACACATCCATGGAGAATGCTGCTTATGCATCTTTTGCCACCTATCAGCCATATGCCGGCAGCTCGAATGGCTCCCTCTGTGAAAGTACGCCCTTGGTGCTCAACTTGCTCGTGATGATGTCGTATGATCAATGTGGAAACATGATGCTTACCAAGCAAAATTATTGGGTTTTTCTCTCGGTTGCTCAGGTCTGCCAGCTTCAGTCTGCCACCAACTCTGAGCAGGCCGTCCTCATCTATGAGTGGATTTAGCTTTGCCAGTGGGCTATTCTTGTTGACGTTACCTCCCTTTGAAAGTGTGGTGAATTCTTCTGCACTGAGAGGATTATTGTGTTCATTGCTGTGGACAGCTCACCGACAGTGTAAGGTTTTGAACATTGATGCCATCGACTGCATTCTGCAGGGACTTGGGTCGCACGATGGAAAGAGTGAGCTATGTGGATGAGCATTGCAATTGTTCTTTTCAAAGAGTTCCAGCATGAGAATGTCTCAAATCTTTCAGGGGTGAGTGGCTTGTCTTTAGTGTTAGTGGCACAGCTCGACACTGATGGTCAGATCTCTCTATCCAAGTTGAGGTCAATGAGCTCAAAGGCGGCTTGCTGTTCACTGTGGGTTTTGTGTGGTTCATACAAGAATGCCGGTCCTGTGAACCAGTTGGTGTTGACAAGCTGAGAGGCTGCAACAGACCTTGAAGCATGACCAGCAGGATTATGCTCTGTAGGTAAGTACTTCCACTGCTCTGGCTGTGTAGATCGTCGGATTCTCTGAACTCGGTTGTGGACATACACATAGAACCGTTTTGCTTCATTATGTATGTATCCAAGTACCACCTTACTGTCACAATAGAAGGTGACTGCATCAAGATGCAAGTCGATTTCCTGAACAATAAGTTCCGCCATTTCCGCAGCTAGTACTGCCGCACAAAGCTCTAATCTAGGTATGGTGGGCTCACTTGGTGGTGCCAGTCTTGCCTTTCCTAGAATGAAACGAATGTTAATCTGACCATCTTCAGCCATCGTTTTGAGGTATGCTACCGCACCTATAGCTTTGGTCGAGGCGTCTGAGAAGATGCAGATTTCTTTTTGTTTGGCTTTTGAGGGGGAGTGGATTGTGTAAGCTCGAGGGATATGAAGCTGATGAAGTTCTTGCAGTGAATCCCTCCATGCCTCCCACACACTGCATTTCTCTTGTGGGAGTGGAGCATCCCAGTCACTTACTTCCATTGACGGATCTCTGAGTAGGAACTTTCCTTGAATGGTGACAGGAGCGACAAATCCAAGAGGATCGAAGAGGCTATTTATTACAGACAGAACTCCACGCCGTGTAAATGGTTTGTTGCTGAGAGATGTCTGGAAAGTGATTGTGTCAGTAGCAACTTCCCAGCTTAAACCAAGGCTGCGCTGTGTGGGAATGGTTTCTCCTCCCAAGTCGAGGTCTTTGATGTCCACTGCATGATCTTCTGCTGGAAACACTGTCAGGACATCCATGCTGTTGGATGTAATCTTATGCAACCTCAAGTTTGACTCGGGGAGCGAGGCTTGTGTCCTCTTCAGCAGGCTAATTGCTTCCTTTTCTGTTGGCAAAGAAATTAGTCCGTCATCTACATAGAACTCGCGTTCTACGTAGCGTCTGGTGTCTGGACCATGTTGCTCTTCTCCCTTCACAGCAGCTCTTCTGAGGCCGTAAGTGGCTACAGCTGGTGGGGGGCTGTTGCCGAATACATGGACCATCATACGGTACTCTACCACATCCTTGCTTGGGTCATTGTCACGATACCAGAGAAATCGCAGGTAGTCCCGATGATCCTCTCTCACAACGAAACAATGGAACATCTGTTGAATGTCTGCAGTCACTGCCACGCGTTCCTTCCTGAAGCGAATCAGGACCCCCAAGAGACTGTTATTCAGGTCTGGTCCAGTGAGCAGGACGTTGTTCAGAGAGATGCCATTGTATTGTGCACTGGAGTCAAAAACAACTTTGATCTGGTCAGGCTTTCTGGGGTGATGGACTCCAAAGGTAGGTAAATACCAGCACTCTTTTCCCTTGTACAGTGGAGGTGCCGGCTCTGCATGGTTGTTGTTGAATACCCTCTGCATGAAGGTAAAATACTGGTCTTTCATTTTCAGTTTTCGGTCTAGGGTGCGCCGTGGAGAACGGAGGCGGCTGACGGCTTGCCCCCGATTGCCTGGCAGAGGTGGCCTTGGAGACTTGAAGGGGAGAGGTGCGACCCAGCTGTTTGAGTCATCCTGAAAAACCTCTCTGTCCATTGCCTTTAAGAAGTATTCATCCTCAAAGGAATGTGCATGTTTGTCATCGTCCATAGTTCTCCCGAAGACAGTGTGGCCAAGGGAGTCTTCCTCTGTTCTATTATTCCAGAGACCTTGAGAGAGACCATGTGGTGAGCTGGAACTGAACTTATCTTTGAAATGGATGTGACTTGTACATGGCTTAAACAGTGAAGGTCTTCCATTTTCTAAGATATTTGTCTTAAAGCTGTGAACAGTGGGCTTATGAACATTTCCTAAGCACACATCACCAACTAAGACCCACCCTAGGTCCAGCTTCTGAGCAAAGGGTGTATTGCCAGGGCCGTTGATCTGCTGTCTCACTTTATGGGCTCTAAGAACATCTCTGCCCAGCAAAAGGAGGATGTGGGCTTTATGATCTAGAGCTGGGATCACGGCAGCAAGACTCTTGAGGTGCAGGTGATGTAGAGCAGCCTCAGGTGTTGGGATCTCTTCTCGATTGTCTGGGATGTCATTGCATTCGATCAGTGTCGGCAGTGTAAGGCTGATTCCACCGTTCAGTGCTTCAATCTGATAGCCGGTTGGTTTTCTACCTGAACTCTCTTTCGCACCAGCACATGTCTTCAAAGTGTAGGGTAGTGCATCCCCTTGGATATCAAACAGATCAAAAAACTCCGATCTGGCTAAGGACCTGTTGCTCTGATCATCGAGCATAGCATACATTTTGAAAGCATTCTCAGGGCGTCCGTCGGGATACACTTTGACGAGGCATATCTTAGAACAGGACTTTGCCGTAAAGTTGTTGCAACAAACCTCAGTACATAGAGTTCACAGCAGGTGTTGATGAAGTACGCTCTTCTTCCTCCTCTCTGCCGTGTTCTGTTTCGCTCTCCCCGCCATCTTCTGATGGGGAGCGTAAGGTCCTGGTAGCCCACGGAGGTGGTCCAGGATGTAGAGCTGTATGATGACGTTCACTGTTGCACTCGTCACACTTTAATGTGGTTTTGCAGTTTCGAGCGAGATGCGAAGATGAGCAGCACTTGAAGCAGATCCCCTGCTCC